CACAGGATTATCTGAGTAATACGACCCCCCCTTAAAGGGTTTCCCCCCACGGTCCCCCCCCAAATACACAAAAAACCTTCGCCCGGGGGTTTTTTCCCCCTTGCAACGCTCAGTGAGATACGTTGTTGTCCATCACATCTCAGTGGAACGTAGATGGAGCATTTTTGAGACATAAAGGGCATTCTATTAAGTGATAATGACCAGAGGGGACATGAAATGCAGTTTTATCAAGCGTCCTTTTGGGATTTCATTTTAATTTTGATTGGATTACCCTGAAGCTAAATGTTTAAACATTGAAAAATATTTTTGAATGACTATTTTTGTAACAGTATTTCTGTACAGCTTATAAAACTTTTATTTTCGTGATTTTCAAGTGTCCTAGTCTAAATGTTAATCGTGACTCCCAAGTGTGTGAAGATGTGACTGAAATGGAGAGGCTATTTAAGGAGAATTGTTTATTTTAAGTTATTGTAGCTGAGTATGCATATTCAAAGATAGCCGCTAGACGCAGAAAGAGAATTAAATTATAGTAAATAATCGGCGACGCAGTAAATCAGAATTGCATTCGTACGTATGGTAAATAGGTAAATTAGTGGTACAGAAGCTTGGCATAGAAATAACGAGTATTATAAACGCTTAAGGTCTGCCAATAGTCCGAGTCTTGTTTAAATAATTAGTTGAGAGCTAGTCCTTAGAACACATCTATAGTACATGGACTGCTATTACGCCCTAGCTTCAAATACCGAAATGTGTGTCACGGATATTGAGGGCACTTAGACGTGGGTATGTGAATCTCGAGGTAACTAAGTCGTATGATCATCACCACATCGGATCGCGTAAAAGAGCAGCTTCTAAAGGTCAACCGCGCTAGTACGGGGAGCTATTTATATAGCTTTCATGATATTTGCTTATAGCCGTTCACGAATAAGAATAAGTTTGCTTTTTTTGGGATATCTACGGCGATTAATTCATTGACGTTTGTGAATTTATAGGCTGACAGTCTCAAATCGTGGGTCTGCCATCTGGACAAACCCCTTCGACACAGACTCGTTTTACCCTGAAACTCCACAATACCCACGTGCGATGTTCCTTTGACCATAATTTTAGTTACAATTAGCAGTCCATGTACTATATGGTCTAAGGAAGTGAGCTAGTAGAGCGATTCAAATCCGTCTATTCTCTACCGCTGCCAAAGTGTCAAAAGCTTAAGTCACGGGCGTTCAAACTATTTATACATGTGCGAGTTTGCGCGATAAAGCGAATTGAGGTCAGTGGATACTAAGTGAGAAAGTATAAATACGGGGATTTCAAGCACCAGGAGGGAGTTGCCCGTCGCCGTTTTTCGGAGCAACATCTATGTCAGTCGCGCCCGCAAATTATAAGCGCGAAGATTAATAAATAAATAGAGATGGGCTTAGTTGCGATTTTTTATTCACAGTTACAACTGCGATTGCGAATTGCTGTTCACTGTGAACATAACCTGTGAATGCGAATTGCGAATCAATAGCATATCCGCAACATATTTGGTAATAGTGATTGTTAGCGTTTTTGCGATGTTAAAAGCTTTCTTACAATGCTGTACTGCTTCACGCTGTCGCTATGTTGGGCTTGCCGCTTGTGGGCGTACTTACCTGGTTGCTGTTAGTTCTAACAAAACGAAAGCGCCAAGCGGAGTTCTAAGGAATATAAAGATATGTTTACGAATTTTATGAAGCATTATTATTTAATATATAGGAGAGAAAAAAATGTCAAGGAACTGTTTAGAAACCAAAAAATGTATTTATGTAGGTACTCGCAAAACAAAACAAAAATATCACACGCATTTTTAAAACAAAAACAAATTCAGATCTAGTAAATTGAAACTAATTTATAATAAAGTTGCGACTTTGCGATTGCTATTTAAAAAAAGTAGCATTTTAGTTTTGGTACTACTGAGCCTACTTCGTCTATCTGTTAGAATTAACCCTGCTTTCGAAAACTCTCTTTCACAAGGTACTGATGTCGCAATGGCACTTTGTCTTTCTTGTGCCACTAAAGCTAAGTGTGGCAGCATATATTTGTGTTCTTTCCACCATTTCAGTGGATCTTGTTTTCTATCCAGCCTGTCGCAATCCAAATAGCGCTGAACCTCTATGATTGCTTTGCTCACTGCAGATCCTATTGGCTGACACTCTGACGCTTCTTTGTCAAAATCAGCCCAAATCTCATCTTCAGAACCAGTGGGATCATCACAAGCCGATGACATTGGTTCATCTTCGCTGACGCTTTGTTTGGACTGAGCAATTTTTTCAGCCACCAAAGATATAACGTTTTTTTTAGTAATATCAAAATATCTTTTGTCTTTAAACGCAAGGGATTTAAACCTTGGGTCTAAGAATGTCGCCATTGATAGTGTATTACTATTTTCTAACTTTCCAAATCTCTCATCCAGTGATTTATTTATTCTCCTTAACATATTCCGAATAATCTCAGATTCGGCCACTGGTTTATCTACGAAACCTTTATATACGGATATTAGACCATTGGCTAACGGAATTACTAAAGAAGCTGTTAAGTATCCTTCGCCCGAAACAGTTTTGGTTACTTTTTCAAACGGTTTAAGGACTTGAAGGATTTGCTTAATGGCAACCCACTCATCAGTCGTTAAGTGACTAGTCGGATCCATATTTGTTAAGGCCATTGTTGCTTTTACGGTATCTTCCAAAGCTATAAACCGCTCTAACATGTAGAAGGTGGAATTCCACCGAGTAGCCACGTCTTGCAGCAGTTTCAACGGAACCCCTGTTCCCTGGTTTTGTTGATATGTCAGAAGTTTCTGCGTCGCTGAATGGCTCCTTTTAAAGTGACCAACAATATACTTCACTTTATTAATAATTTGTGAAATATCTTCTCCTTTTAAACCATCGTTAACAACAAGGTTTATAGAATGTGCGAAACATCCGAAATGTTTCCACCCCAATTCAGTTTGAACAGCTGCTTTGATATTAGCGGCATTATCCGACACAACCATGAGAACTTTTTGAATAACGTCCCATTCTGATAGAACTCGTTTTAGTTCCTTCGCTAGATTTGCAGCTGTATGTTGTACCGGTAAACTTGAACACTCTAAAAGTAGTGACACTAGATCAAAATTGTCATTTAAAAAATGAACAGTGACAGCCATAAAACTCTCAGTGTTTACTGATGTCCAACAATCAGTTGTGACACAAACTTTTTTTGCACCTTCTAACACTCTATGTGTTTCATTTACACACTTTTCATACGCTGCCGGAATAAGTGTTCTTGATATCATATGCCTGCTTGGCAATTCATAAGACGAATTAAGAGCTGCAACAAACTCGCGAAACGCATTTTCTTCAACTATTCGGAACGGCTGAAAGGTCTCACTAAAAAGCCGAAGCAACTTTTGGTCTATGATCTGCTTTGATTTTGGTGTTAACCGTTTGGGAATGTAGGAGGATATATGTGTTTGACGACCAACTCTGATAGAGGGAGAATCATTTGATTGGATTTTACTCGTAGATGGAACATTGACCACAGTACTGCTACTGCTGATAGAGGGCTGAACATTGTCAGTATTCTGAAAAATAAACATTTTTGTTAGGTACTGGGTCAACTTGTAAGTGCAACAATAAGAATATATCTCGGAATATATAATGCTGATTTGATTTTTTTATTGCAAAATACTTACCCGACTTTCAGGCACACTGACACTAGGATGTTCAACGACGGTTGTTGTAGTGCGGCTACAGACATCTGTTGCAACCAACGAAACCGTGGGATGTTTAATTTCCATGTGCTTTTTTAAATTTGTGGTACTAGTTTTGTAGGACAATTTTGTTTGGCATATATTACAAGTTGCGTAATTGTCGTCTACTTCAGTAAAAAAGTTCCACAGAAAACTTATTTTTCGTCTTTTTGGAACTGGGGCCATTTGTTATTTTACTTTTTTTCAATCAAAAAGTGGCAATTTTTTAATAATAAACACTATATAGACACACTAAACACAAGTATAAGAGTTACAACACAGTCACACGTATGAATATTTACTTTGCAGAATAAACTCGCAGTGTGTGTGAACAGTACTAAATGACGAATTTGAGAAATTAATATTTAGGCCCTTCGCTTACCAAACCTACACGATAACGATCCGATGCCGGCACGATATACCAGCCAACAAGCTCGCGATCTGCTCTTCTTCCATTGGGCCTACTTGTTTCCTACATTTTTTGATCAGTACAGTCGGCAATGTCAAGTGACGGGGATGATGTCGTTGCTATGTATTGGTATTTGCGAAATCGAAAAAAGCAACGAAAATCTAATAAGACAAGAAGATGGTGGATACATCCATATATCGCTAATAATAAAAAACGAAGGATGTTTATTGCTGCCAAAGAACTTGCGCAGGATCCCGTAAAGTTTAGATCATTTTATCGGATGTCTAAAGAACTTTTTCTTGAACTGGTTGAAAAACTGCGACCATATATTCAAAAAAAAGATACGAACTACCGACAATGTGTGAGCGTTGAAGAAAGACTTTTAATAACGCTTAGGTAAGTGTATAACGTGTTTATTATATAGGTTTTTTTACAATGGTTAATGCAAATAAGTTAAATCATAATCAGTGTTGCTGCTGCTTGGTTTCCATCCATTGTGGGGATCAGTTTGTGGCAATTGTCGAAAATTTGTGGTAATCAGAGATGGTTCCATATTGTTGCTATCATAAAGTGATGACCTCGGTGATGACGTTGCGGTTGCAGGAGTACTGGTTCTTGATGGCCACGAATGTTCACTATAATAAGAAGATGGCGCAGGTGAAGGAGTATTGGATGCGTTTCTTGTTGGGAAGGAATTTTGGTTGCCGCTAATATATGGTGATGCGGATGAAGGTGTGGTATTGTTCAAAAAATATTGGTTACTGAATGCTGGTTTTCCATCTAAAATATTGTCAATTAAATTCAAAACCTCTCGTTTGAATCGTCTCATCTGTAGAGGATTCATTGCATTCACCTCCGGAAGCAAGCTCAATAGAAACATCTGATTTGGATCAGCATCGGTAGTTTTCTTTTTGCGAATATCGCAGAATTCTACAAACGCTCTATCAGCATCGGACAATTCAGGTTTTCTTTTGTTTGTTACCGTGTTAGCGGACTTTTTTCTGTTAATCGTTTGTGTTCCATCATTTCCAATACCCTGTGAAGCTTGCGTGGCATCAGCTTCATCAGTATTATCTGCAATTGCAGTGCTTTCATCGATACTTTCGCTTTCATCTTCACTATGTTGTTCAGAAGTTGATGGTATATTGCCCTGTGTGTCACTGTCAGGTGTGTTGGGTTTCACAAATGGCAACACAAATTGCATATGTTCTGCTAAATAATACGGTTTTTTGGATTTTGCACCTGATCCACTTGGAGGTGACTTCAAGTTCCTCACAAAAGCTGTTCTTACATTCTGCCATTTCTGCTTGCATTTGCTCACTGTAATAGAAACAAAGAAAACATGCATATACCTCTTGACCAAATCATTTATAGTTACACAAATTTTTACAGATATTTGGCCTCAGGATGTACGTTCAGCGCTCTTGCATTTTATTTTGCTCGAGGAAATAATACAATTGGACGTATTGTAATAGAAACTACATCTGCTATTTGGTCAAGTTTACAAGAACAATATATGCCAATTCCGAACAAAGATCAGTGGCTATTAATAGCAGATCGCTATCAGCAGTTGTGGAATCTTCCAAACTGCCTAGGAGCTATTGACGGGAAGCATATTAGAATACAGAAAATTCCTGGAAGCGGATCCGAAAATTTTAATTATAAATCGTTTCACTCTATCGTTTTACTGGCGTGCAGTGATGCTGATGGTAACTTTATTATGATAGAACGGGGTATGCTGGTAGAAATTGTGATGGCGGCATTTTTAGAGCGTCAAGAATGGGCAAATGGCTACAACAAGGACGAGATTTGCCGGAACCAAGATTGTTACCAAATGATGAATTGCAACAAAGTTTTCCATATTACTTTGTTGGTGACGAAGCATTTCCACTTTCAAAATATCTTATGAGACCTTATCCAAAACGAACACTGAATAACACGAGCAGAATATTCAATTACAGACTCAGTCGAGGTCGTAAGACCGTTGAATGTGCATTTGGCATGATGACACAAAAATTTCAAGTGTTGCTGAATTCTGTTCGTTGTAAAGCAGTAAAATCTGTGAATAACATAATTCGGGCAGTATGTATTCTTCATAATTATGTTCGTAACAGAGAAGGACGAGCATATTTAACAACACAGTTTCCACAAGAAGAACAAGAACCTCACGAAATATTAGCCAACGTCCATGCAAATGGTGACGAACAGATTACTATTGATGGCCGATCCAATGCACATACTTTGAGAAATTATTTAGCTCAATATTTTCTACAACCACGTGTAGCTCTTCCATGGCAATGGAATTACAGAGTAAACGAGGATTAATTAAAAGTTTCTCACAAACTTTTATTACTGACGATTTTATGTAAACGATAAATGAATATCTACACACTACGCACATTGTTTGTACTAAGTTATTAATAAATTGGTAAAAAACAGTACATACCTGTGTCGTTTACTTCTTTTGCCACTTCTGTCCATGCTTTTTCAGTGATATCTTTTCTAGCATATTCTGCCAGCTTATAATTATATAAGCAAGGAAAATTTTCGACTGCTTCTACAAGTTTGAGGTTAAATTCACATTCAGCCTTTTGATGCGCCATAACTGCAGACTGCCCAAACAGTAACTGAAATCGTCTGGACGTCTGACATGTCGAGTCGGCAGCCGAAAATCGTACGACGTATCGGCCGAATGTATCTTTGGTGTGAGAATTGTGTATATAAAACATGAGATCGATTTGGATACGATAAGCAGATGATATTTTTCAGCATCGTATCGGCATCGGATCGTTATCGTGTAGGTTTGGTGAGCCAAGGGCCTTAATTGCATTCCTGACTCCATTCGCATCTGTAATTATCAATTCAAAGGAATTCATTCAGAAATCGTTAGTTTGAATTAAATTTTACGTTTCTCATATTACATACAACTTCCTGTACCTACCTACCTACTTACGTTACAAAAAATAAAAATACGCGATAACGCGACTCGCTGTTGACTTGACAGTTCATAATTGTGAATGCGATGCGCTCAGCTCATTATATATACATCCTGTGAAGTGAATGCAATATTGTTAACGAATAACGTGCATGAACAACGATTCTAAATAAAATTTAATTTCAAATCGCAGTTAGCAGTTTAAAATAAAACTGATAGCAACCTGTGAATGCGATTTTTTATTAGCAGTGAATATTTCACAGGTCGTGATTTTTTGCTCATCTCTAATTGAGTGTGAATGCAGCAGTGCAGTCTGCAGTCTCTGCATGAATGTGTACGGTGTGCGTGCAGCGTGTGGCTGTTGTAGTGTAAACGTACCGCGTATTCAATTTAAAATGAAGAGACAAAGTACATTGTCATCTTTTTTTATAAGTAAACAAAGCAGAAACGACGTTAAGGAATGTTGCATTGAGAAAGAAGGCAAGGTTAATAACATTGAGGAAGGCGGTGAAATTTCAACATCAACGTTTGTGAATAGTGACATTGCAGTTGTAACAGCTCCAGTGGCTTCGACTTCCCTGTCGTTAGCTCCTTCATTGGAATCGAGCTGTGTTGAAAGTGAAAACGATTCTGAAATCCCTGGGTGTTGGTCCAGTGTTCAGTTGAGGTATTTTGAAAAAGAGTATGATTGGTTAGAGATAAAAAACCAAAAGCTAGGTTGTAAAATATGCTCACGTGTTGGTTGATTGGGTCCAAAACAAGCAAAGCATATTCACTTAGCAACGGAATGGGTAAATTACTCTGTGATGGAAAATGGGAAGTCCAAAGAAACGCAACAGGCGTCTTTGAGAAAAAAAATGCGGTCTCATTCAAAATCGAGTGCACACTTAGAAGCGGCCAGTTTATTAAAGTTGAGTGAAAAAGATGAATTACCTATACTAGTTGACCACATAAATAATAAAAGCATATCTGCTACAGTTCATATCTTTAACGTAGTGTATAGCCTAGCGAAGAAGAACAGACCAATGAGCGATATTGATGCTGCCTTAGAATTACAAGAAAAAAACGGCGTTGATGTAGGTAATTGTCTCCATTCACGGTTTTCCGCAACACGGATTATTGAACATATTTCAAAACAGATCAGGAAGAATCTTTTCTCTCCCATAATTAAGAATTGCGCTAAAGTGTACATAATAATCGATGAAGCCTCAACTATAGCGAAACAAAGTGCTTTGGTTATTTATATCCGGTGTGAAGTTGATTCTGTACCTGAACCAATGAACGTTTTCGTGGATCTTGTACCACTGTCATCTACTACAGCGGAGAACGTTTTTAATTCATTAATTGGATGCTTACATGACCACGGTTTTGACAAGGACTATTTATCTAGTAATTTGATAGGGTTTTGTTCTGATGGTGCCAGTACTATGCTGGGTAGAAAATCTGGTGTATCCCAAAAGTTAACTGAGCAATTTCCTCATAGTGATATGGCATTGCTTAAACCATCGATTGCAACTAGCTCTGGATGATTCAATAAAAGACATTAACCAGGTTAATCATTTTAAAATATTCTTAGATAAAATTTATGCGATTTATCACCAATCAAATAAAAACCAGGCGGAGCTGCACGATATTGCTGTAGAATTAGAAGTTGAAATAATCAAAATGGGTCGTGTTTTAGGCCCTCGCTGGGCAGCTTGTAGTTTAAGAGCCGCTATTGCTGTCTGGAGAGCTTATCCAGCGCTCCACGCGCACTTTGCTAAAAATAAATCATTTTCCGGAATGGCTAAGCGATTAAGCAACATTAACTTTTTAAAAGATCTAGCTTTGATGATCGACATTTTAGAAGAGATTTACATCTTATCAAACGGCCTGCAATCACGTACCACAACTTTGGATAAAGCCGACAAACTTATAAGGCGTACAATTAGAGCGCTAACAACTTTGAAAAATGGCGGTGGTGGTAAACATGAAGATCAAGTTAAAAATTTGATTGCTAGCAATACGTTTTCCAAAATACAGTTTCAACACCACTCGACGAAATTTACAGCTCTTCCGAGGGAGAGATTAATTCAGAGTGTAATTGATAATTTGACAACTAGGTTATTATCAACTAACCATTTCATTTTCACGGACACAGAAACTACATCAGTATCAGGTTCCACTTCCAATAAGGATAACTACCAGCAGCTTTTGGATTTATTTAATTTACTAGAGCCCGTTTCATGGAAATATGAAGAAATAGATTCGCCGTGGATTCAAGGGGGAAAAAAAATTAAAGAACTTAAACCAATTACTAAAGTTTGATGTAGATATCAACGACTTTCGAGATTTCGTGGACGCGAATCTCAAAGAAAGCGTTAATATTTCGCTTCCTCCAACAATTGCTAAAGCGAAGAAAATAATTAATTCAATAGCCATTAGCAGTTCAGAGGCTGAGAGAGGTTTTAGCGTTATGAATGACATAGCCACATCTGAACGAAGTAAACTCACCGTGAATCACATATCCTGCCTAATGACTATTAAAATAATAGGAAAACCTTTAAAAGACTTTGATGCAGTTCCATTTGTGAAAAGTTGGCTACGTTACCATCGTGATGCAACAGACACCAGAGTTCGTGCCAGAGCTGTCAAGGAGCCTTCGCAAAACGAACAATATATATGGTCTCTTTTAGAATGACACCTGTTTTTTTCTTGTTTAAGGGCCATGTGCTTTTTTTTAAATATTAATTTACTAATTACGTATATTTTTCCTTCAAACTACACCAAATAAAGTACATATTTAGCAGTTTTAATTTTTCGATACTAACTTACTGACATGTTTTAAACACGCATTTACAGGTATCGCCTCCAGTTTATTGAAATACTTATTAGTTGGCTAGGCGAGCCCTCTGATAAATATTTTCCAGCACACCGCTGAACCACTTACTCTCTTTAGTTATGTTTGCAACGTCATTTGCAACTTGTTGGGGCAAAATTGTTATATTGGAGGCAGAATTGCAATCCCCTTTCATTTCTTCGATATTTGCAATTCCGCCTTTATGAAAATCCTGGCTTTCCTTGTCACTTTCAGAGGAACTCGACAAGAGCGCTTTTTTCCTTTTCTTTTGGGGTTTGAACAGATTATTTACTTCATCATCTATCTCGGGATTTATATTAGAAGAACTCTCGCACATTTCGTTGTCAATTTCGTTGATTACCTGGTCGACTATTTCTACAGATATATTGTCATTATTTTGAGAAGTTAGCTCTGAATGCTGTTGTTTGGTACTAGGTTCGATACTCGGCTCAATATTAAGAAGACGACTACGTCTCGCGCTGGCGTCATAGCAAAATTTTTCAATTGTTGATTGACGTACTTGACTGCTACCTGAGCCTAAACCACTAATTGATGATTTTTGAACTTTACTTTTCTTAGTCAAATGCTTGTTCACGTGTTGATAATAATTTGATAAGCATAAATTAGAACCAGGTTTGTTTTTCTGTAGCTGTTTAACCTGAAATTGTTATACATTTCTATATTACATGATACATAGTTAATGGTTTCTAAAAAAAAAAAACAACGCCGCGCATTGCATATACGTGCTTATAGTTCGGCATCAATAAAACAAAGCACAAGTTAATAACACAAAATTAACTAGCATTTAAAAAATAATGTTTACGTCAACTTTAATCTCAAACAAAAAAATCTAGTTGTGTACTTATTATTAATTTAAAAAAACTCGGAAAAAGTTATAACATACAACCATATTTAGTTAAAAAATGCTATATATTTTATATTTATGCAATTAACGCTTATGTTGTGAAATTAAATTATTTTAATAAAAACTTTTACCTTAACTTTTTGTTCACACATTAAACACGATATAAGGCAACTTAAAAGGCCATCACCATCTTCGACACAGCGGAACTCATCAAACTTAATTTTGTTATGAAATGTTTGTTCTTCACTCTTACCATTGACTAATTGGGGGAATATTAGTCAATGCTCTTACTTAATTTGATTTTGGCGCAAAACGGTAATCCAGGATAGAAGTTGATGTTGAACGTTTTCGCTTAATCTTGTTTGTACGCCTACCTCAGGTGCAGCGAGAGATGCCTTTGATACACTTCTCGACTCGCTACTAGAACTACTTTCTGGACGACCAGCGTGTACTTCCGCTTGTGTATGCCCTTCGTTTGATTGCGACGCTTTTGCCGTAGGCATCAAAACCGACGGTTTTACACCACATGCAGGACATACGAGCTTCTTACTAGCCTCGCTCATGGCCAAAAGAATTTTTTTCTGTCCAGGAAGGAATTTGAAATTTTCAGGGCGCTCTTTGAATACAGGCCCATAATAACTTTCATAATCAGCTTTTTCGATTATTTGATGAAGATCGGTGTTTACAAAACTTTCTAATTCATTTATTTCCTTGTCGGATAAGTTTTTGAGACCAATTCTATTATCAAAACTAGCCATCACAATTATATTACGTAAAAACGGGGGAATCTGAATTTGAAGCCGCTGTTGTAACAGTTCAATAAATGCGTCGCCGCTGTCACAGTGTTCCACACGGTTGTCCGCGGTAGTTAAATTTGTATTCGACATTTTAGTTCGAGATTTAAGTAAATTGCAGCATAAAGTTTTTACAATAATTACTGAAACTACAATAATTACTGAAACTACAATAAACACTAAAAATAACTTTTAAGATCGATGTTAGGATGTACCTACTTGTACGTAAACGTAACACTAAAGGCGGATTTAGTCTCATACGCAGAAACACATTGACGTAAAAATACGTAGACGCAGAAAGTTCACTCAATTGCACTAGAATGCTTGCGTTTATACTCCTGCGCAATATTACATGCTGTATTTATAACGTAGATTTCACTAACGTAAAAGTATGTAGAATTTAAACTTTGGACGTGGAAAATCGTTGTCGGTCATTGTGTTGTTATCGTGTGTAAACATAACCTATCAAAGTATCAAATATGTTGGACGAGCATAGATTAATACAGTTAATTGAAGATCGACGTGAAGTGTGGGACACGAATTCGGTGCAATTTCGAAATAAAATAGTTAAATCAACTGCATGGAACGAAATCGCCAAAGAAATAGGAGCTACAAGTAAGCATAACATCTTTTATCTGTACACTGAAGCTGCTACAATTTTATTTTTCAAAAGTTGAAGATTGCCAGAACACCTGGAAGCGATTGCGTGATAGATATACCCGCAATAAGCGACTGGCACCTTCAGGTGCAGAAGGCGGTCGGAAGAAATGGGATAAGGAAGACTTATTACGTTTTTTGGATAAAATTTTGGTTACCAGAAGGTAGTATTATATGTATGTAAATTGAAGTAATTTAATGCTGACAAATTATAGAACTACTAGTAGTGCTACAGAACGTAGTGGCAACAACAAAAACATTCAAGATAGTAAAGGTACTGAAGAAGAGATCGATATGGAGGATTTATTATCCCAAGCAAATGTCGAAGTGGTCACAAGTAACAGCGAACTTTTTTTAGTAGATGACCAGAATGAAGTGGAGAATGAAGACCCTAATCCACAAACTCCTGTTCTCGATGAAATAGAATTGTTAACTGAAGATGAATTCATACAACCCCAGATCACTCCGTCATCATCAAAAGGAAAAAAGAGAAAGAGAATGCAGCAGCAAAACAAGAACGAGTTGAGCGATACTATTATGAATGCAATAAACAAATTGAGTAATGAAGCAGCACCAACAGTGACACCTGCGGCAGAGACAGATCTTAATGATACATTTATTCAGTACATTTGTCAGCAAGCGAAAGGGCTATTATCAAATCAAAATGAAAAGTGTCAAAGATTAATTAGATTAAAAATCAATAACTTTTTTTATGAATTGTCTGAAGAATATCAGGCATAAAAGTGTACGAACATAATTCTACTCTACATACAAATGTAATTTAATGATTATTATTAAAACATTTCATTACTATTAGGTATACATATACATATGTACAAAATATTGTTTTTCATTAAATTTCTAACAATGTATCCTATATTAATTTTTTTTCAAATATTCTGTCCTGCCAAAGTACACTGCCTTCTGGTGAGTTAAAATAATCACGAAGTGTATTCCGTAATTTCATGACATCTGCGGTATAATTTCGAGATCCTTGATTACTTATTTTTTCAAGGAGGGGACCAGTCCGCCATTCACCAGGTATGATCTAAAAAAAGTGGTACATCAATATGTAATTCATGACAATATATAACTAACTTCGCCATCTTCATTTTCAATATCTATTATGTTATTAATGTAAGGATCATTCGTTCTAACACATCTAAGAAAATTATGTAAGACCACTGTTGCCTTAACTATGCTGTCTACTGTGTTGGGTTTTGCAATTATCGGTTTACGTAAAATTCTCCATCTGGAAGCAAGGATCCCAAACGCATTTTCAACAATTCGGCGACCTCTACTTAATCTGTAGTTGAAAATACGTGATTCCTTCGACATTTCATTTTTTGGGTAAGGCCTCATAATGTTTTTTTTGAGTGGGAAAGCTTCATCTGCAACGAAATAGCATGGAAACCTTAAATTTGTCTTAGGCAATATATCATTTCTGGGAATGTTGAGTGTTTCATTTAAAATGGCGGCACCAAAGTTCGAACTTCTAAACACACCACTATCTCCACAAATACCTTAAAACACCATACTATATAAATAAGTACTATTAACAATTGGCATAAATTACCTTGGGCACCTATGTCAACAAAAATGAATTTATAATTGCTATCTACAATTGCCATCAAATTTATACTGTAGTAATGTTTATAATTATAAAATTTTGAACCTGATTTATAGGGGCTCTGTATGGCAATGTGTTTGCCATCTATAGCACCCAGGCAGTTAGGAATATTCCACCTTAAAAAAATATTGATGGTAGAAGAAACAAGTATGTGAAACAATAAAATAAAACCTTTCATAGAACTCTTGTTTGATGTGATTCCATTGTTCAAGATTAGGAGGCACAAGATATTTAGGAGAAAGCACTTCCCATAAAACATCACATGTTTCTTTAACTACAACAGATATGGTAGCTCTTCCTCTAAGATAGGAACGAGCAACCTCTGCCATTGATGAACCTTGCGCCAAATAGCTATAAAAAATTTTATAATTGTATCTACATTGAGCAAGTTTAGTCCCTACCTCAAAGTTATGGCTAATCTCTCACTTGTCGATAATGTGTTAATATTGCTTCGTTTGTTTAACCTTTCTTCGATTAAATTAACCAATACATTAAATTCATGGGGATACAATCTCGTGTATTTAAAAAATTCTTCGGGATCTTCTGTTATCATAACTTGAAAAGTTTTCAAGTATCTTCCATACTTTCTTCTATATTTGTTTAGTGGCCTTACATACCATCTACGAACTCTTTTTCTAGGTTGCAACAATTGTAGGTCATTAGCAAGAGCAGCTAACAGCAGCACACATAACAGTTTATTCTTATTTGTTGGCATAATGCATACGGATTGCTACTTTTTATTTTAAACCAAATTTGTGTCTTAAATATAGGTTAGATTTAACTGTCACTGGTCATCTGTTTACCGCCATTAACAGAGGAATATAAACTGTAGAATTTGTTTATGTTACAAGCAAGCAAAACTACAGCATCAATTTGCAGTTACTTTTGCGTCGCGTACCTTTACGTACGAGGCTAAATCCGCCTTTATTCTTGTCCTTCCCATGCGCAAAGTTTGCGTATAAGTACCGAAAACCGTTTCTGACGTACATGCACACAGTATCCCTGTTTGCAGCCACAGGCAGTAGTTCTCGATAACTTTGCGATCTGCGAAATAGTAGACCACAACCAGTCGTTGTGCAGTTTCGCTCTCTGCGTGGTCCCGTATTATTAGTTTAGAAGAATTTTAAATGGTGCTAATTGTGATTATGCGACAAATACTAACCACCACTTATCTCTTATTTATTAGTTTCGACAGATTTGAAATGTGCTGATTTGATTATGAGATCAATAATTATAAATCTAATCTTAAACCAACGCCTTTTTAAAACAAAGTTTAGAAGAATTTTAAATGTGCTAATTGTGATTATGCGACAAATACTAACCACCACTTATCTCTTATTTATTAGTTTCGACAGATTTGAAATGTGCTGATTGTGATTATGAGATCAATAATTATAAATCTAATCTTAACCAACGCCTTTTAAAACAAAGTTTAGAAGGATTTTAAATGTGCTAATTGTGATTATGAGACAAATACTAAACGACATGACAGTTTTAATTATTTATTATTATTTGGTCGTACTGATTAAACATAACAAATTTTGCATTGATGGACAGGGTTAGTAAGTAATGCAGCCTTGGTTGAAATAAAAAATCCGAACTCAATACCCACCGAATGATCCTCGAGATCTTCACGCATTCATCATTTTTACAACACCTTAAGGGGTTGATTCTGTTCAATGTCGGCAAACTAGCTCTAATTCATCTATGCAAAAGCAACATCATAGAACAACTTCACTTTGCAGCAGCTCATCTGGTTTTTTAAAACGAAACTAACTTGCAGATACACCCCCAGCAAAAAGACGCAAAACTCAGCAGTTAAGGCCCCGTCCAACAAATGAATTAGATATTGATCTCCAGATTGCACAGGCGATTTCTTCACTATCTCAAAATCTAGTAGTATGTCCCTAATAACACAATTCCATCCCACAAACATCCTAAAAACATTCCAATGAGACAATACAAACATCCCTAAGAGGTCCCTATTTTCCTATAGACATCCCAGGGACGTCTCTGGCAACAGCCATGTCATCATTTGCGATGTTACAGAAACATGTATGCGAGATGTTACACGGGGACATTCACAAGATGATGTTGGAATGTTCCAATTTATAAAAACAGGGATTTTCAAAAGCAGTAATAAAATTTGTTTTAATAAAATAACAAAGATTTAATATGGAGTTTGATACAAAGTATTTACAGAAAACATGTAAAAAACAAAATATTCTCTTAAACAACAAATTGCCCTCTGCCTTAATATTCTATAATGGTGTTTGGGATACTCAAGTTTCCAATAGCACCTAAACAAAAAACACGCTTCTCCATACCTAAATTCTTATTTTTTTGTTGCACGTTTATGTTCTGCCCGAATGCGTCGTTCCTTAGATCTTCGCAGCCAATCCCCCAGTTTCTGCTCAACTTCCTTTTTATTTTTTGCATGTCCACCTTTTTCAGCGGCTTCTAAAATTTTGCAAATGTTTGTACCAATGTATACACAGCAGTAAAATGTATTAAACAAAACAGTTTATAACACAGTTAATATCACATATTAATCAAGTATCTCTCGTCCATTAAAAAATATTGTGCACACTATTTCTGTACAGACCAATATGGATCAGCAAATCCTGGTCATGAAACGTTCCTATTAGACCTGCATGTTGGGGATTAACAAATTCCATGTGTAGCTTTGCTGAACTGCGCACTAATGTGCACACCAGAACTTGAAAGTCAGGATTTACTGGTCAGTGTGTAGGTATAATGTGCGTAATATTTAAGACATTAGAGAATTAATATTGTTTAATTCGCTCAATTTCGTTAAACTAACACAATGTATTTACCTATTATTATTTTTGCCAAATTTTTATCCCCAAAGGAAAGATTTCCTTTTTTTCCAAAGAAGGAAAACTGTTCCGATAATCCATCCCATAGTAGAGGAGCAAGGCATCTACGTACAAATTCATATAAATTAGCTCCTCCAATAGATGAGAAAAATCCAACCTGCAAAAAATACATTGCATCATACATTGGTAAGTTTAAATGAAATATACAAAGCATTGCTTTTCATGCAGTCTTTTAATCAGAGCAGTGCGTCATAGACAACAATGACATAATCAATCAATATTGATGTCATGTATAATTTAAAATTAATGGTTATAAAACGTGTTTTATATATTAATGCTTGAAACAAATCTACAGCAGCTTGACAACAACAGACCATTAATACTGGTAGCGCTGCACCATACTACCAACATAATGCTGATGCCAATTTAGAATTGATATAAAGAAAGTTGGGAATTTGTGCAGCCGAAGTTGGTTATGAATTGTTTAAATAACATAATAAAAAATATTACCAAAGCTAAATAATTTTCTCTTGCCGAAAAGAATTTCTCAAATTTGTCGAATTCCTGAATAGTTTCCATAGGAAAACTAATTCCGGATTTCCGAATGATATTTTCTTCATTTTCCTCAGCTTTCCTAGGTACACTGTTCAGCTTGTTATTGATTTCGATAAGTAATGCCTGAATGTTGTATAGTAAAGCTGGATTGCAACAACATTTTGTTCGGTCTGCCCTTCCTGAAAAAATTTGATTAGACATCAATTTATTTCTAACAAAATTAAATAAACTTGCTTATATTTTCCTTAATGGAGTCTATAGGCTTTCGTGGTGTGATATTGTTAATTTCATTTTCTTGTTGGCTAGGGGCAATCGAGGTTGAAGGTAATGATTCAATAACAGGTGGTACCACAACCACCTGTTCCTCAAGTTCATCTATGCATGCTTCTGGTTCAGCTACAAAAGGTAAATAAAATATAAGAACTCAGATAAAACAGAATGTTGCAACATTAATTTGAAGTGTTCAGGGACTCTGAACATTATATTAAAATTGATAAAAAAATATTTTGACAGCCTCTTACCTAACTGATGTGAATCTTTGTGAGTCCGATGTTCATCATCAGTCCATGCTGGTGGAGAAGGCATTTTACCTTTATTGGCCCGCTTCTCATTCATAGATTCAGTGTCTGATGAGTCGTCTGAAGATGAAGAGATCACTTTTTTCTTTCTTTTCCTTTTTCCTGATAAAGGACCATCATCACAATCTGTGTTCAGGTCACTTGTATTTTCAGCTTTATTAGCTTTGCTCCTCGCAACAGAGTAATTATCTAAAAAAAAAATTCCTTTTTCACTTTGATTATTATCTAATTAAATTTTTGTTTTCATTAATCAAAAATTAGGTACATATTCTTTCACAAATTATTTTTTTAATACCACAAATATGAAGATTACCATATGTTGCATTCCGAAATGTTCTCACAGTGTGTGATGGCCAACATGAATTAAATTCACATTTTCTTATGTAGGTATTTAATTTGTCTCTAGTTACCACTGGCCATAAGCACTGATCTCCACTTAACCATTTTGTCGGAACTGCCTCCACCGTTTCATCATTGGTGAAACACACCACAGTCCATGTATTATTTGGAGACGCCATAGGAACTAAAAAAACAACAAAAGGGCAAAACAAGAACAGAAACACCTTATAATAGACCTATGTTATACGTAGATACATGTGTGAAAATTTCGTCCCATAAACTTTTAATAAATGTGTGTGCTATACAACTCTTATACATAAGTATATAAACATAAGAAAATATTAAAGGGGCGCGGGCATTGCGAAATAAACGAAATTAAAATCAGCTAAGGACAATTAAACTAAGTTTGAGCAACTCTGGAGGCAGTTTTCGTTTAGGTAGTTTAGTATATGAACTGAAAAAGCCTTTTAAATCTAACATGGGCTGAAATGAATTAAATGAAACTATGATTTCAATCTTCGTCCAGTTTAGCATAGATGACCTGGAATGCCTTAAAAGTATGGAAGTAGGTCGATAAGTAGCTGATTTATATATTTCGTTTGCAGTGTACGCCCACCTTAAAAAGCTAAAAAATTTGTATAAATCTTAGTTTGTGTGGATTAATGGTAAAATTACAAATTTGGTCTTATAAGACAACTTCATGCATTTATAGGCAATTTCATTTATATCCCATGATTTCAATTCATTTTCTAAATAACTTGCCAAATAAATATTAAGTTTTGAAGACTTACAGGGAGACGTATAAAAGTCCTCGTAGGTTAAAAATTTGTTACCAATTAATTTAATACATTTACCTTTACTACTTACTATAATGTTTCTAATAATGACCACACTTTTGTCAATAAGTGCACAGCAATTATCAGCATCTTGTATTGATAATAAGAACTTTTCAAACACAATTTTTTCAAATTGTTGCCATCTATCGCCAGATATATTTTCCATTAGTGGACCTTTCGAATGTTCAATTTGGAACTTTGGATACGTAATTGTTTTGCTATCATTAAATAGAATTTGTGTGTTTTTTTCGGATATTCTATTAACGATTTGCTGCAGCGGTTTATCACCTTTACGAATTAGTTTTTTTATATACATCATCTTATTTTCAAATGGAAATGTACTAAAGTTTTCAACACTGCAAAATATTTCAACATCATCAGTAAGATGAAGCAAGTTATGTATATTATGGGAAACATTTGCTTCTCCATAAAGCATTGTGTAAGTTAGTACAAAATGTCTAAGTAACTGCTTAGCATACAGTAAATTATCACACTTTGACAGTAATGTCATTGATACATGGAGGGTCAAAAAGTTTTCATATATTTCATCTGAGACTCTTTTTCTTAATATTATAGGACCCAGGTAAAACAGAAATAAACGAAATTCTGTAGCCTTCCACCTTTTGACTTCCAGAAATGACCTTGGCTTTCTCATAAACTCATAAGGTATTTGGTTTTTAAATGTGAGATAATGATCTGACAAATTTTTAATTTGTTGTGATGAAAAACGATGAGGTGGTTTACCACAGAGCCATAAGTTATTTAGAGGTTTTT